AGAAGTGAACTGTCATGCAGTCACAACAAGGGCCTCAGGTGATCTCACTGGAGTTTGGGAGAGGGTGGCTCTTCGGAATTGTCCCACCCAAGGCACAGATAAGGGTCTTTATGCCTCTTCATCAACCAGCCATTGTATGTGAACTGCCTCGGGGAGGGAAGATGGCTCTCCTCAGCTGAGCGCTAGTCCAGGAGAGGACACAGCTGAGAGCTATTGGCACAAACAGCCAGGAGGATGAGTGCCTCAGTTCCTGAAGGGAGGGGACCTGGGTGGCAGCCCCCAGCATCCACTGCCATGATTATTTTCTGCATCTCTCAATAGTTAATATTTGTACTTTGTATTAATTGTTTATTGCACAGCAAATTACCCCCTGAACTTAGTGGCTTAAAACAACAAATATTTGTAACCTCATAGTTTCCGCTGGTCATGAATCTGAGTCTGGGTGTCTGGCTCAGGGGCTCTCAGGAGACAGTCATCAAGCTACTGGCTTAGAAGCACCTCAAGACTCTGCTGTGGCTGGAGGGAACCACTTCCAAGTTCACTCACGTGACTGTCGGCAGGCCTCAGAAGACCCACTGCAAGCCCACTCACTGGGTGCTGGCAGGCTTGCGATCCACCACACGACTTCCGCAGGCTGCCTAAGTATCCTCGTGACATGGCAGCTGGTGAATGGAGAGCAAGAGACCACACCAAGTCTCTTTGTATAATAACTTAATCTTGGAAGTGCCATCACATCATTTCTGCCATATTGTATTTGTTAGAAGTCACTGAGTTGGCCAGGTGGGGTGGCTCACATCTGTAATCCCAGCACTTTGGGAGGCCGATGCAGGTGATCACCTGAGGTCAGGAGTTCAAGACCAGCCTGGCCAACATGGCGAAACTCCATCTCTACTAAAAAAAAAAAAAAAATTAGCCAGGCATGGTGGTGCACACCTGTAATCCCAGCTACCCGGGAGGCTGAGGCAGGAGAATTGCTTGAACCCGGGAGGCAGAGGTTGCAATGAGCCAAGATTGTGCCACTGCACTCTAGCCTGGGCAACAGAGTGGGATTTGGTCTCAAAAAAAAAAAAAAAAAAAAGTTACCCGGTTGCAGTGGCTCACACCTGTAATCCCAGCACTTTGGGAAGCCGAGGGGAATCACGAGGTCAGGAGTTCGAGACCAACCTGGCCAAGACGGTGAAACCCCATCACTAAAAATACAAAAATTAGCTGGACATGGTGGCAGGCAACTGTAGTCCCAGCTACTTGGGAGGCTGAGGCAGGAGAACCCCTTGAACCCCGGAAGGTAGAGGCTGCAGTGAGCCGAGATTGTGCCACTGCACTCCAGTCTGGGCGACAGAACGAGACTCCAACTCAAAAAAAAAAAAAAAAAGTCACCGAGTCCAGTGCAAATCCAGTGGGCAGCGGGGGGAGAGATTACACAAAGGCGTGAATACTAGGAAGTGGGATCACTGGGGACATTTTAGAGTTGCACGTCTCAAATATTACCTGCCGAACACTGAGCTGAGCATTTTACCTGCTCTATTTTATTTAATACTTACAATAACCTTAAGGTAGTTATTTTTAATTTTATTATTATTTGGAGTCTCGCTCTGTCCCCCAGGCTGGAGTGCAGTGGTGCAATCTCGGCTCACTGCAAGCTCCGCCTCCTGAATTCATGTCATTCTCCTGCCTCAGCCTCTCAAGTAGCTGGGACTACAGGCGCGCGCCACCACGCCCAGCTAATTTTTTTTTTTTTTTTTTTTCAGTAGAGACAGGGTTTCACCGTGTTAGCCAGGATGGTCTTGACAGGGTTTCACCATGTTAGCCAGGATGGTCTTGATCTCCTGACCTCGTGATCTGCCCGCCTCGTCCTCCCAAAGTGCTGGGATTACAGGCGTGAGCCACCATACCCAGCCACCTTAAGGTAGTTATTAATACCTCCCTCTGCAGATGTGGAAAGAAGCTCAACGTGGTTAAACTACTTGCTCATAAGCCACACAAATTACTATGTAGGAGAGAAAAGATTTAGTCCAGGTTTGAGGACAAGGCTGTGTGTTTTTTAACTCTTTTGCTATATTGTCTCCCACAGTAACAGCTGAGAGGAATCAAAGTGTTGCAGAATACTGAAGCTAAATAGGGTGCTACTTTGCAGTAGGTGCGGGACCTGAGGGGGAGATGTACCAGTCAAAGGGCTCTAAATTTAGCCAGGCATTTCCTAGCCCCAAAGTTCAGGAATAAGGTTGGGAACATGGAAAAGCAGGCCAGGAGACAAAGTGAAGAGGAATTCCAAAACAGTTGTGTTGCTGGTAAAATCTGCTGTGGACATGTGAACACCTTCCTTTCTAGTTCCACAGTTGCTAAATATGAATTGGAAATAGAGGTAGCAGGGACCTAGAAACAAATGAACTAAAACTCTTACAGGTTGCATATCCCTTGTCCGAAATGCTTATAACCAGGAGCATTTTGAAATTTTTTGCATTTTGGAATATTTGCCTGATATACTTACCGGGTGAGTATTCCTAATCCAAAATCTGAAGTGCTCCAATGAATATTCTCTTTGAGCATGACCTTGGAGTGTCATGTCAGTGCTCAAAAAGTTTTGGATTTTCGGTCAGGCATAGTGGCTCGCACCTGTAATCCCAGCACTTTCAGAGGGCAAGGTGGGTGGGTCACCTGAGGTCGGGAGTTCGAGACCAGCCTGATCAACATGGAGAAACCCTATCTCTACTAAAAATACAAAATTAGCCGGGCGTGGTGGCACATGACTGTAATCCCAGCTACTCAGGCAGCTGAGGCAGGAGAATCGCTTGAACCTGGGAGGCGGAGGTTGCAGTGAGCCGAGATCGCACCATTGCACTCCAGCCTGGGCAATAAGAGCGAAACTCCATTTCAAAGAAAAAAAAAAAAGTTTTGGATTTTGGAGCATTTTAAATTTTGGATTAGGGATGCTCAACCTGTACTCAGTTATGGCCAAAAAAGTCAAGCTTCTTGCACAAGGAACTTGTACAAAGATACAAGCTTTCAGTAACTCTTAGACCTAAATCTGGGGGCTGTTTCAAGTTATCTATTGCTGTATAACAAACCACTCCAAATCTTAGTGATTTATAATAATACTATAATAATAGTTTATATCTCATGATCCTATGGGTTGGCTGGGAGGTTATTCTGCTGGTCTCACCTGAACTCTTTTTTTTTTTGAAATGGAGTCTCGTTCTGTTGCCCAGGCTGGAGTGCAGTGGTACAACCTTGGCTCCTGGGTTCAAGTGATTCTCCTACCCTAGTCTCCTGAGTAGCTGGGATTACAGGCGCCCACCACCAGGCTTGGCTAATTTTTGTATTTTTAGTAGAGATGGGGTTTCGCCATGTTGCCCAGGCTGGTCTTGAACTCCTGACCTCAAGTGATCCACCCACTTCAACCTACCAAAGTGTTGGAATTACAGGTGTGAGCCACCGCCCCTGGCCTCGCCTGGACTCTTAAGCATGCATTTACCTGTGGGTCAGCTGAGCTGGTGGGTCCAAGATGTCCTCACCCATGTCTAGAGCTGGGCAGGGACAGCTGGAACTCTGTCTCGATACAGCTCTCATTGCTCTGGTCTAGCCTGAGATTTTTACTTGGCAGGCATGTTTCAAGAAAGGAAAATAAAGGCAGAGGCCAGGCGCAGTGGCTCACGCCTGTAATCCTAGCACTTTGGGAGGCCAAGGCAGGCGGATCACGAGGTCGAGATGGAGACCATCCTGGCAAACATGGTGAAACCCCATCTGAGGCAGGAGAATCGCTTGAACCTGGGAGGCGGAGGTTGCAGTGAGCTGAGATCACACCACTACCGTCCAGCTTGGGCAACAGAGAGAGACTCCATCTCAAAAAAAAAAAAAAAAAAAAAAAAATAGAAAAGAAAAAATCAAAGTGCAGCACATATATTTTTCTTGAACCTTTTATTCACTTATATAAGTAAGCTCATCTATATATGTGTATTGAATAGCAAAGTAGTGGTAAAAATATTTCTTGCTATGGGGTCATGGTGAAAGTTTGAAAGCACTTATATACTCAGGTGGGAGTGATTACCTACCCTGTATCTATGAAGAAACTGTGTTAACATCTACATCAAGTTAGAGATACAAGATGATAAAGAATGGTAATTCTATGATTTGGGCAGTTTTATTCCATTCTAAGAGGTTTCAAAGGAAAACTTGAACAATAAGATTTCCTTCCTATACACTCAACTCCCTCAATGGAATCCTTAGAAGGAACAAAATCGGGTGGCTCATGGACCGGGGAGGCTTATGATGACAGAAGCTAGTCGATCTTCCAGCTGACTGCAGTCACAGCTCTGAGGGCAAGCTTCACAGTACAAGGGCCCACACCACCTGACATTATATAAGATCATCATTTGTTTATTGTCAGGGTTTCTCCACTGGAAAGCAGGGTCTGTGAGAGTAGAGCCTGTCTTGCTCATTGCTGAATCCCCAGTGGCCAGATCAATGCCCAGCATGTATTAGGCATCTAATAAACATTCGTGGAATAAATGAATGAATGACTGACTGAATGACGGGCATAGAGGCAGGGAAAGCTGCCTCATCCCAAGTACCATATTTTATAATGATTGCTTTCCACTGACTGTACTTTGTAAGCTGTTTCAATCTGTGTTGATTTTTCTTCAAACTGGTTCAGAACCCAATCCTGATCCTTTGTCCAAACACTATTCTCAAGGATACTTTCAGATTATTGCTCGGCTGCACACACTAGTGTTACTGAAACCAAACAGCGCTGCAGACAGAGAACTAATCACTCTGCCTTTGGTTAACAGCCTTGAAAACATGTTATTCATGAAGAGATCAGGCAGGGTTTGGGGTAGGTCAGCCTATTACCACCATCACTAGAAACAACAAGTAAACAAGTAACAGCAGAAGAGGACTGCAGGATTGTTCATTTTCTCAAAAAGGGCAATTTGTTAGCAATGGGGACCTCAAAATGTTGTCACCTGAGGGTATGGAAGAAATGAAGAAAGACACAAAGGGGATATGGCTGCTTTTTTTTTTTTTTTTACTTTGAACATTAGCATTAAGTTGGTTACCGTACACATCCAAAGGCCCAGCATCTCAGAAAATTCATTAGGCGGCACACCTGTACCAGAGTCTCACAAGAAAAAAATATACAATGCTACATTGAGTGGTTAAAAATACACAAAAAAGTAGTTTTTAACAATCTATAAATTTTTTATACTTAAAATCATGATTGAGTTGAAATAAAAAAGTGCATTTCAATTGCTAAAAAAATAATATTGATATAGTTAACACGAGGGGGAAATCAGTACACTGAGGGATCTGACAGGATGCTGGAAAAAACGACTCAGGGAAGCTGGGCAGCATGGGCTCGTTTGGAGATTCAGGAGCGGAGCTCAGTTCCACCTCACTGCAGTTCCCTGGGGCCAAGCAGCCCTCCTCTCCCCAGTATCTTTCCCATCTTAAGAGGTCCTGTCCTACCTACCTGTCACCTCCCCAACCCAAAGACTCCTCTAAACTTCTTTGCAGCATGACAGCTGCCTGCCCTACACTGAGTCTACTTGACCTTCAATTGCATCTCCGCAGAGGTAGGAGAGGGACACTGCCCCATTCTGGACTTGACATAAGTACCCCAGCCACATGGCCTTCATCCTTATGACCTAGCAGGCAGAACAGGGACCAAGCAGCTTCTATTTTGTCAAACTCCTTTGGACAAATATTCAACATTCAACAACAAGCTTTGTAAACCTAACGCTAAACAAGTCATGGCAAGCAAACTGGATTTTCTTTTCTTAAGAAATGAGGAAAAGTGCAAGTGATCTCAGTACTGTTGGGGAAAACAAAAATAAAAACAAACAAGTTGCACCTGGCCACTTGCTGCCTAAACCAATCACAGCTTCAGTTTTGTTTTTTGTCAAGTGTTGGAGTTACAAGTAGACACCACCCTCTGTGCCTGATATTGCTTAGGTTCAGACTTGGCTGGGGGTGAGGGGACCAGGCAGAAATCAGTTAAGAAGGCCATTCCAGGTGTAAATGCCTCCCAGCTCTACTGGGGTAATATTTACTGTCTGGTCTTTTCCCTTCCCAGGTTGATTACTGACCTGTTTGTTGTGAAGATGCTGCTGCAATAAGCACCAACAGAACTCATGGTCAGAGAGCTGACGATCATGGTTAGAAGCCCTTAGACAAAGTAACTGACAGAGGGGGAGCGCACAGTTTCTAACCTGGAGTGCCTGTTGCACTGGTCAGGAAGAAGGGTCTGACCTAGAGGACTTGTTCCCTGATGTAACAGATATCCCTTTGGAGCAGAGAAGGTGAGAAGCATTTCCTTACTCATACTCCAGAGTTCTCCCAGTGCTCTTGTTCCTCCTTCTATAGATGTGATGGTGGTGGCCTGTGAAGGAGATAGGAGCGGGGAAGCCTGCCTGCTCTGCCTTCAGCACACAAAGGCGCCCCCATGGGAAGGTCCTGGCTTTCAATCTGGAGGTCATCAACATGTAAAAAGTCGAATTAACTAAGATGCCTGACCCACAAGGACTCCAGACCCACACGTCAATCATTGCTTGCATCATGAGGGATGAACGACGACTGGACTTTGTAATAAGGGAACACTTCTTAAATAATCAAAATATATGAATAAGCTTCGAGCCAAGAGGCTATTCCAGAAGAGATTTAAAAGTGGAATCTTTCTTTAGCAGGTTGAGAATAAAGCTAAAGTACTTTATTGCTCCCTTGTGGACAAAGCCAGAACTGCTGATGGAAAACAGTCACAGCCCATGTCAAGAAATGAATAAAATACATATTCAAATTTATGGAAGATTGAGAAGAAATCATCCTATTTTCAGAGGCTACATATATGCCCTTGGGGAGACAACTTAAGAAGTAAACACAAAAATTATGTCACACTGTTTCTTTTTAACCTAATGAATTAATAGAGCATGAAAAGATATTTCTAGGAGGGTTAGAAGTTCTAGCAGAATAAAATACTTCCCACCAACTTTCAAATGCAATGAAACAGTCTTGAGTCCTGTACAGGATGTGAGTTAAAGTCTATCATGCTCATCAGACGGTCCCTTTTCACCTGTAAAAGACAGGTAGGGAGGAAGCTGTGTTCATTCAGAGGAGCTGGATATTCCAGAAACAACGTGATTCTCTGGCACATCCAGTACAGACACAGGCTCTTCAGTTGATCAGAACTAGCCAAGGCAAGTATCAGATTTCCTTCTGAAGTTAAGCAAAATTCAGCTTCCACCCCCTTTCTTGGCCCATCCTCACTTCCTATGAAATCATTTTCAAGTAATATGTAACATCCCTGATCTCACCAGAGAAGCTGACGTAGTGTGAAAGTAACCTGCGACTTGGAAAGCTATGGGAACACGCTCAGGGGCAGGAATTCCCTTGGATGCGTGTATCAGAAGTTTCCTACTGAAGACATACAAGACAGCAGGCTGTCTCAAAGACATGGTTCCTCCAAATGACAAGCAAGTACAGGTCTCCATTGTTTTATGGCCTGGGACTCTGAAGAGAAAAGCCACAAATTTTAAAGTAGATACTGTAAGTAGCTAGTTACTATCCAAGAGGCAAACTTCTAGATCAATAATGAGGAAGAAACATCACGGCAAATGAAGTGAAAGGTATTTAACACAATAAAAAATCCTTGTTACTGATTTCTGTAACATAAAACCTTTTTCATTTTGTAAACTCATCTTCCCATCCCAAATAGCAGTGAAGCCTTCAAAAATCTTGAATTTATTCATCATCAAACATAACCAATTCTCACAATTTTGCACTATCTCACCAATAATATAGTGTCTGTTGCCAGACAGGAAAGATGGAGAATGTATTAACAGCTGCCTTCTTAGACACCCACCTCGTGTGGTTATCAGTTAGTCTTAAAAACCTGAGTACTATTAACTTTAAGGAAAAGGACATGAGATTTTAAGTTAGAAAGGAAAAATGCTAAGGCCCAAACACTCAACTCCAAGCTTTCATTCACCTAAAAAATGCAATCAAATCTCATTTGAAAGAGTTCATTTTTTTTTCTTTTTCTCCAGTTTTGGAGGAGAACTGGAAGGGAGTAAAAAGAACTGTACACAGCACAAACTTCCGCTCTGGCTGTGACGGACTAGTCAATTGCTAAATGTTTGATCACGGAGGTGCTCGATCATATTACATGGAAAACACTGCAACCTCCTTTTCATTACATCCTTCATATATTATGGCTCCATCATACGTTTTAAACCAATTAGATGAAAACAGCTAGAAAAAATAAACAGAAGTTTCTGAGGGACAGGGCCATGAGAAAGCAGAAACCCAGAGAGCAATTTTAAATACATTTGACTAAAAGAGTATAGTCTCGCAAAATGTGTATGGAAAAGAGTGGGCACATGGGAGCAGGGCAGAGCAACAGCAGCACTCAGGATCCCTTCATCAGAAAGGGGAGGCATTCAGGAAGACTTCAGTTGAGAAAAAGGTGTTCAAAAGACATATTCAATGACCTTTAATTTTAAAGGAACGTCGAATTTCTGGTGAAAGTAAAGAAGGTGAAGAGTCAAATAAGGATAAAATCTTTCAACAGGGAGATGTAATATGTGAATAAGATATAAATAAAAGTTAAACATGTAACCTAAAAATGACATGGAGGAACAAAACAGAAATTCAGTCAAAATTCTTGTCCAAGGTTTTAGCTAGTTTGTAGAGTTAAGCCCACTGGAATATGGGTGAATTCCAATATTCATGGATAATGAAATAGTCAGAGGTAGGATTTAGATCAGGAAAAGAATGTTCCAGGATGCTGGCATTTTGAAGGCACTCAAAAACAGAGTGAGAGAGACTGAAGCTGCAGTGACATCAGAGGATTAGAGAGAGGTGCATACTCATGTATCTGTCATAAAGAAACAAAACAACTCCAGGAACATGTGACCATACATATATTATTGAGTAATACATAGAGTAACAAAGCAGAAAGAAAGCCACCTTGTAAGTAGTTTCTTACAACAATACAGATTCTATCTAGAGAACAAGAAAGAGTTTGTTTTCCAAATATGCATGTCTGCAAAGTAGTTCTGACTTAAATAAAGAATTTCATAAATGGTATGTGATCTGGTTCTTTAAACAAATTTACTGAAGCAAAAGCTTCAAAGCTGGAACGACCAAGGAGTTTGATTTTCCTTTGAATCTTGCAAAACCTATCCTCTAAGACAAAAAGATGTGATCATAAAATCTATAAAAAAGTCTAGAAAGTATAAAAGTATAGAACTATGAAAGTGGATATATTGATGGCAACTTTTATGGCTTCCATAGAAAGTGTAGAGAGGATCTCTGGTTTGCTTTATCGAGGTAGTGTCCAGGGTTGGAAGGTCATCATTCTTTATTGTAAGTGCTACAGATGACAAAAGCAGGTTAGCTAGGGTGTTGTTATTGCATAATAATGCCACTATTTCTAATGGCTTATGACCTTTCATTCCTTAAAAAAAAAAAAAAAAAATTCTTTTGAGAAATTTCCTATCTTGGTTCAGGCAAAGGAAAATTAAAACCCAAACTTTACTTGCTCAATTTTATAGTCTGAAGAATTCCAAATGAGTTGATTTTTTAAAAACAGTAATTAGCTGATACAATTCTTAAATGTAATGTATCCCTTTTTTCATTAAATACTTCTCATACAGTCTAGAACAGCATTTAAATATTTATCACGTGGACCAGCAATGCAATAAAAGTTGTCTTTTCTATACAGTAGCTCAAACAGAAAGGTTTCTCTAACTTTAGTTTTCTTCTTTTTTTTTTAAACATTAAAACTGACCTATCATTGTGTGTTTTACTAACCGAAATCTGCAAGATGGTGTAAATATACATATATCTGCAATGGATTTCTATTTCTGCTTCATCTTCTCAAAATTTAAAACTTCCAGTGAAATAATAATGAAACTAAACATACATATCTATTCAACAAACATAAAAACTGAAAAAAAATTTCAAGAATTAAAAAATCCATAGTTTATAAGCATCTCATCAGAGCATTTTGCTTTCGGTTAGTATATGAGGGATAATCAAATTACAGGGAAAGTTCTAACCACTAGAAAAGGATACTTCGAACCAATGTGGTTTTAAAAAAATGGTATAATTATGGTAATGTCCACGCTCAGTCATTAATCTAGAACAGTTAATATAAATGGTAGACTATGAAAGTACAGGTAACTGATTTGCACAGGCTTCTTTGAACTGCAGTAAAGTTTTTTTGTGGAGATCTCCCCTGCTTGCTAAAAAGAAGAATCCAGTCACAAATACATGTGGAAATGAAGCCACATGTCTTTAAATTGTTGTCTTTTCTTCATTCAGATTTAAAAATCTAACTCAGAATGAGCCTACCTGACTCAATTTGAGAAAGCAGCAGCCTTTATTAAGGCTAAGGAAGAGTTTATATTTTACTGATAAATCTTATGAGAGAAAGCAGAAAAATAAAAATGAAACACACACAAACCAACCAACCCACACACACAAAATACAATGCCAACTCATCCTCAAATAAGTCTTGACCCCAGCAATGATACAAGCCTTTGAAGACAGTAAAACTAAGTAATGAGAGACAGCCTCAATTTGTTATCTACATAATGCTTAAATGCGGCCTTTGTTGTCTTTAACAGACATGCACAGATAAGGGCTGAGAACTCAAACTTCTCCATAATTATTTTTTTCATAAACAGATAACAAGTAGATAAAAAGTCTTGAAGAATTCATGGGGTGCTGTAGCATATATGGAAGAGAACATACCACATAATGCAACTTTTATCTTACAAAGAGGACCCCAACCAAATTTTCAACCCTGAGTTTGAGTCTTAAGTATGTTAAACGTGTTGCACATATATGTTTAAGGCTTAATCCTGCAGTTCTTATATTCAGAAGCATTAATGTTGTGAATATTCTTAATGCATTTCATTATTCATATGCAATATGATACTGATGAGGAGTCATTATATTCGGAGCAGTTTTCCTGAAGACCACAAATCTCAAGTCAAGGAAAGTATCCTTAATCTAGGGGAAAAAAAGGAAGTTTCTAAATTGTTCCACAATATATTTCACTAAGAATTGTACTATATGACAATGCTAATTTTTCAAAATAATCTTTTTTTTTTTTTTTTTTCTTCTGTTAAGGATGGTGGTGATTATTTGCTTAATACTGGTTTTCCTGTATAGCAGATATTTTCTTATGGCTATATTTACTTGAATGAAAAATCAAAGATGACTACCTGAATATTCCAGTGTATAGTTATAGTACAACCTCATGAAATGGTTGATTCTGTAGTCTCAAGTCTAGAATTCAGAATTGCTGCCCAATACTGTAAATTTATTTAGAACAAAATAAGGCGGTCGGGCATGGTGGCTCACGCCTGTAATCCCAGCACTTTGGGAGGTTGAGGTGGGCGGATCACAAGGTCAGGCATTCAAGACCAGCCTGGCCAATATGGTGAAACCCCGTCTCTACTAAAAATACAAAACTGAGCCGGGCATGGTGGCACATGCCTGTAATCCCAGCTACTCGGGAGGCTGAGGCAGGAGAATCACTTGAACCCGGGAGGCGGGGGTTGCAGTGAGCCAAGATCGCATCACTGCACTCCAGCCCGGGCAAGAGAGCAAGACTCTGCCTCAAAAAAAAAAAAAAACACACAATATAACCAATTAAGCACAATTTACATCTTTAAAAAAAATCATTTTAATACTACAGGCTTGACCATGAAATAATGATATGTCTATATAAAAGTGTAGGTTGACAAACTTGTCATGGAATGCCAAGGAGACTGTGGAGGGAGGGGAGACAACCACTAAAGATATAACCGTCAAATGCAAGGAATTAACTTTCCTCATTGGCTTGGATACCTGGGTGCTCAAAGAATGTGTACAAATATTAAAAATACCATTTTTAAAACTTACATCCAAAACCAGGAAGAAAAGTATATCTTGAGATACTTTTCTGCCTCATTCCAAAAGTTTCCTATGCTCATTATACAAGACAGGCAAAATCAGAAGGAGAAAATTTAGAAACATTAAACCAAAAAGCTAATAGAGAGTGCGATGTTTAAAAAATACAGACTTAATCTCAGTTGAAAGAGTTCTATTTTTTCCTACCACAGAGCTCATTAGCTAGGAAAGTGCTCAAAGCATATCTGCACATTTAACATTGAAAATAAAAAAAAAGCCAGCATTCTGATTCAGGCAATGATTTTAAGAACCTGAAGAAAGAAAAATGAAGAAATTTCAAGATTTAAAAATGGACTGGGCATGGTAGTGTGTGCCAGTAGTCCCAGCTACTTGGTTAGCTGAGGCAGGATTGCTTGAGCCCAAGAGTTGGAGGCTGTAGTGTGCTATAGTTGCACCTGTAAATAGCCACTGCACTCTAGCCTGGGCAACATAGCAAGACTTTGTCTTAAAAAAAAAAAAAAAAATTGGAGAGGGGGTGGGAGGTAAGTGATTTAGCCTGGGAACTCAGTTATCTGAGATAAAGAAATACAAAATTTTAAATTATAATGAGTCTGGATAAATTTGATCAGTTAAGTGTAATCAATACACTAGCCCTTCTGTTCAGCCTTTCCTATAATAAGCTCCTGGTTGATTACATTCTTTTGAAGTTCCCCAAACTTGAAAAAGTAATCTGCCTAAAGGTATTAGAGGTGCTGCTCTCTTTATCACCTAAGAATACTGGTATTACATAATTTGCAGAGGACAGGGCAGTAAAACTTAGGAGTTTTCCCTCACTACTATTTACTGTGTTAAAATAGCTCAAGGTTATGAACATATCCATATTTCACATATAATCGATATTTCAAAATTCATAACCAATTTGCCTTCTCATCTGAATTTCTCAGCCACTATCAGCAACATCATGTTTATGATTTTAAGTTTACTATTTTAGCTTCTTATAACAATTCTAGAAAAATAAGGTAACCTCAAAATGAGAGATTTCAACTTGTCATTCCATAAAAGCTAAACATGAACACAGTTCCTAAGGGAAGTGAGAAACAGACGTGACTGAGATTAAATGATCTCCACTACTTCCTCCTCCTGTCAGCAAACAGCCTTATTCAAATGTTCAAAACATGGAAGCTTTAGGTGACTTCCCTGGAAAAGGCCCCATCCCCTGCAAATCATTTCATGTAATGCACTAACGAAGCCAAGTAGAACACGGAGGACAGGAGCACATTAGGGAGCCTCTCTGAGTGTTACGCAGAGATGTCAAAACTACCAAGTATTTATGCCAAATCCTGAAAGCAAAGCCTCGTTTTTGCAGTAACCTGGTGTGGAGACCCTCTCAGATACATCGAGTCTCTGAAGCACCTTTTGAGTTGTACGGATGTAAGAATAACTTTGAATTATAGAAGTTATATGCATCTTTAAGAATCACATTTTGATGATTATAAAATTTTTTTTCTATTTTACAACATAGGTTCAGCTACACTGAAAAAATTACACCGCTTATTGAAATACATTTCATTTTAGAAACAGACTACTAAAGAAGTCTATACAAAAACTCTAAAATAATTTCTGTAGTAAAATAAAGAGTGCGTTAGGAGAGCTACACGAAGAAAATTTGTCTTTCTCTATAATGCTTGATATACTGTGAATCATGGCCAGCTCAACTCTGTAGCTGGCACCAAAAGCTGAAAAGAATTCCTTACCATACACAGTGATACAATTAATGCTCTGGATTAATCTCACAGCCTTCCCGATTAGTACAAAGGAAACCAGGCCTATCCCCTCTTTGAGGAGAAGTCCGGGATATAAAAGCAAGCATACCTCATCAGCTGATATGAAATTATAAAATTCCACAAGTCTGAGTATTTGAAACTTATAAAAGTCATCAGAAAATGCAAGCAAATTGGGCTTTAGTTCAGTGGTTCCCTTGGTTTAGATGACAGTCCCTCTGTGAGCTCAAGGTAGTCTTCTTGTTCATTCCCTTGGATCTGTTGATTCAGTGACACTGGCGAAGCTCTTGGTAGAGGCGGAGGAGAGTCTGAGAACTAAGGAAATGCGCACTGACTCCCTCTGTGCATGCTCACACATGGGGACATGTCTCCTGGAGAACACACTAAGGAGACGGATGTTAATGATGCTGTGCTGAACTGTTCTTCTCTGCCAGGTGCCGCAGAAAGTTGTCATCACCCTGGCCTCTATGATTTAAAGGCTCACTCTTAAAGAGAGCTGGAGGTGGGGGGAGGTGAGGGACTGGAGGGATGGGAAGGTGGTGCGGGTGGTGAGGGTGTGGGTGGATGTGCAGGTGTGAGAAGGGGTGGGGGATGGGCCGAGGGGGAAGAGTGCTTACAGGATTCATATTGATTGGAGGGGTTGGGGTTGTGGGTGTGTTCACCACAGAAGGAACTGGGGTGGCTGGGGAAGTTGTAAGTGGGATCTGGACAGCAGGTGGCACATTCACGGGGCTGGTCACCCGAAAGCACTTCTCCTTGTGGGCCTTAAGCATATTCGAGAAGCGGAACCGCTGGCCACACACATCACATGGATAGGGCTTCTCGCCTGTGTGAGTTCTGCGGTGTCTCTTCATGTTGGGGCGGCTGGTGAAGCTTTTGCCACAGATTTCACAGATAAAGGGTTTCTCTCCTGAGATGAACACAGACATAAAAATTATTAACATATTAGGTGGTAATTGTGTGCTCATGCTATTTCTTTTCTTCCTTTCTTTTTTTTTTTTTAATAGAAATGGAGTCTCACTATGTTGATCAGGCTGGTCTCGAACTCCTGGCCTCAAGTGATCCTCCTATCTGGGCCTCCCAAAGTGCTGGGATTACAGGTGTGAGCCACTGCACCTGGCCTATGAGACTGTATTCTAGAGTCATTTAAAAATCCTCTCAAATTTGGACTTAACAGATCAGAGTAGATACAACTAAAACTTACATACACCCTACCATCTGGGCTTAGCTAAAAGAAGAAGATAAAGATGGGGGAGAAGGCATCTACATTAGTGATCCTCTACATCCTACATAAAGAACAGTTCAAATGGCTTTCTGTGCTCAAGGAAACATCCTAGATGACTCTTTGCCTTTAAATTTAGGCAAGTTAATCTGTAAGCAATTTATTTATTTATTTATTTTTTGGTTTTTTGAGACAGAGTTTTGCTCTTGTCACACAGGCTATAGTGCAACGGTGCGATCTCGGCTCACTGCAACCTCCACCTCCTGGGTTCAAATGATTCTCTTGTCTCAGCCTCCCGAGTAGCTGGGACTACAGGCGTGCACCACCATGCTGGCTAATTTTTGTATTTTTAGTAGAAACGGGGTTTCACCATGTTGGCCAGGCTGGTCTCAAACTCCTGACTTCAGGTGATCCACCCACCTCGGCCACTCAAAGTGCTGGGATTACAGGCGTGAGCCACTGTGCCCAGCTGCAATTTCTTTTTCCTTTTTCTCTTCTTTTTTTTTTTTGAGATGGAGTCTCGCTCTGTCGCCCACGCTGGATTGCAGTGGCGCGATCTTGGCTTACTGCAAGCTGTGCCTCCTGGGTTCATACCATTCTCCTGCCTCAGCCTCCCAAATAGCTGGGACTACAGGCACCCACCACCATGCCCGGCTAATCTTTTGTATTTTTAGTAGAGACAGGGTTTCACCGTGTTAACCAGGATGGTCTTGATCTCCTGACCTTGTGATCCGCCTGCCTCGGCCTCCCAAAGTGCAGGGATTACAGGCGTGAGCCACTGTGCCTGGCCTTGCAATTTCTTTTTTAAAGAGGATCTTGCTCTGTCACCCAGGCTGGGGTATAGTGGTGTGATCACAGCTCACTGCAGTTTCAACCTCCTGGGCTCAAGCAATCCTCCCAGCTCAGCCTCCCAAGTAACTGGGCCTACTACAGGTGCCAGCTACCACATCTGGCTATCTTTTTTTTTTCTGTAGAGGCAGGGTCTCCGAATTTTGCCCAGGCTGGTCTCGAACCCATGGGCTCAAGTGATCCTCCCGCCTCAGACTCCCAAAGTGCTGAGATTACAGGCATGAGCTAAGGCCCTGTCCTGTAAGCAATTTCTGATATTCCAAACAAAAGTAAGAATTTTCTGAAAATGTCCTGTGGAACAAAGAAGTCTCTTCCTGTCTATTCTTACAGAATCCTTAGCATACAGCTTGCTTTTTGGCACTGAATTTAGAAAATACTGGCTTGACAAACCTACAATATGAATTTCACACCACAGTGTTTCACAATGAGAGTGCTACCAGCATTTCTGCAGACAATTCCTCATTATGTGGGACTATCTGGCATTCAGCATTCCTGATGCCAGCCTACTGAATACGCACAAGAGATTTCGACAAAAAAAATGCCCCTATGCCATTTCCAAATGTCTGTGGGTGTAGGGAGGGTGTTGGGGGTTATTGCTCCTAGTTGAGGACCACTGGGCCAATGAGTCAAAAAAGGAGACAGAATCCCAGAGTTCTTAGGGCATTTAGAAAGGAAATTAGGTTTGGGTTCTGAGGGCTTAATTTTTAAGCTTCCCTAACTTGCTTTTGAACTTACTGCTTAGTTCCATTCTGTGTCTGTCTGCTTCTCTACCCAGGCTGTAGAAAATAAAATGCTTTTTGATTCTGTATGTCCATCAATCATTTTATATGGGATGCTGAGGTGAGGCGGGGAGTACTTCTGTACATGCACTTCGGTGAACCACACGCTTGTACTGATCAATTCCTGCATCAGTCCTCCATATCTATAGCTCGTCTCTTTACATTAACTCCTGTAAGAGTGTTGCTGTCACTTCCATTGCTGCTCCCTCTTCTCCCAACAGGTGTGTTTATTCTACTCATGTGTATTCGGTCTTACTGTGTATCAGGCACTGCTAACTGCTTTACATCTATTAACCTTGGTGATCCTCACAGTGACTGTATGAGGCAGGTACACTATTACCCCTTATTTTACTCATAAGGGAATTAATAAACTTGCTCAAGTTTATATGCTAATGGAGAGTTAGGATTTAAAATCTGCAGCCTGGTTCTAGAGTTTATGTTTTTGACATATAAACCACAGTATTTCACAAACCACTCAATTTGCATTTCTGCATGCATGAAAGGATGTATTTTCTTACTTTCTCATCTACTTTGGGACTCCTTTTTTCCCACCCCTCCCCAGGCCCCTTCTTATATTCCTAGGAGAAAACACCTCTTTACTCATAGTACAAATTTCTTGTCTCCAGCTTTTCATTATAATAGAAAACTGACATCCTCTATGGCCTCTTCCATGGAAGCCAGAATTTTCCTCATTTTCCTGAGAGATTGAAGAGTCAATTTTCTCCATATCTATCAGTATTATTTGAAACCTATCATATTTCTCGTCTTTACACTTTTTTTTGAGATGGAGTCCTGCTCTGTCACCCAGGCTGAAGTGTAGTGAGTGGCACGATCTCAGCTCACTGCAGCCTCTGTCTCCTGGGCTCAAGCGATTCTCCTGCCTCAGCCCCTGGAGTAGCTGGGATTACAGGCACGTGCCACCACACCCAGCTAATTTTTGTATTTTTAGTAGAGATGAGGTTTCACCGTATGGGCCACACTGGTCTCAAACTCCTGACCTCAGGTGATCTGCCCACCTCAGCCTCCCAAAGTGCTGGGATTACAGGTGTGAGCTACCGCCTGGCCCTCTTTACACTTTTCATTCTTCAATCACTGCCATAGCTAGGCTCCTTACTGTGACTCATATTCATCTTTCTGGATGAATTCTGAGCCCAGTTTGTTTTCCTTCTTTTTAATCAATTTCCTCCAACCATCTTTAAAACTTCAACTTCTGGCAGGGTGTGGTGTCTCAAGCCTGTAATCCCAGCACTTTGGGAGGCCAAGGCAGGAGGATCACTTGAGGCTAGGAGTTCGAGACCAGCCTGGGCAACACAGTGGCACCCTGTCTATATATTAAAAAACAAACAAAAGCCCTTCTACTTCTGTGCTAAATAGAATTAAGCAAATCAATTATAGTATATTTGTTTGATGGAAAATACCATTGAAAACAATGTTACAGGCTAGGTAAAGTGGCTCACACCTGGAATCCCAGCACTTTGGGAGGCTGAAGCAGGAGGATTGCTTCAACCCAGGAGTTCGAGACCAGCCTCAACATGGTAAGACTCTGTTTTTACAAAAAAATACAAACAATTAGCCAAGTGTGGTGGTGTGCACCTGCAGTCCCAGCTACTGAAGAGGCTGAGGTGGGAGAATGACTTGAGCCTGGGAGGCAGAGGTTGCAGTAAGCTGAGATTGCACCACCGCACTCAAGCCTGAGCCACAGAGAGATGCTATCTTAGAACAACAATGTTATAAAGTACAGAAATGTATTTCTTTTTTCCTTTTTTTTTTTTTTGAGGTGGAGACTCACTCTGTCGCCCAGGCTGGAGTGCAGTGGCGCAATCTCGGCTCACTGCAACCTCCGCCTCCTGGGTTCAAGCGATTCTGCTGCCTCAGCCTCCCGAGTAGCTGGGACTACAGGCGCCTGTCACCATGCCCGGCTAATTTTTTGTATTTTTAGCAGAGACAGGGTTTCACCGTGTTAGCCAGGATGGCTTTGATCTCCTGACCTTATGATCCACCCGCCTCAGCCTCCCAAAGTGTTGGCATTACAGGCGTGAGCCATGCGCCCAGCCCAGAAATGTAATTATTAACATGAAAATGTATAATCTATTAAGTTTATCTATGGTCTATTAAATAAAAGCAAGTTATGAAAATGCATGCATGCATGAGGACGGGTGTGGTGGCTCATGCCTGTAATCCCAGCACTTTAGGAGGCAGAGGCAGGCGGATCATTTGAGGTCAGGAGTTCGAGACAGGCTCGGCCAACATGGTGAAACCCTATCTCTACTAAAAATACAAAAATTAGCCGGGTGTGGTGGCACGCACCTGTAGTCCCAGGTGCTGGGGAGGCTGAGGCAGGAGAATCACTTGAACCCGGGAGGCAGAGGTTGCAGTGAGCGAGACTGTGCCATTGCACTCCAGCCTGGGTGACAGAGCAAGACTCCATCTCAAAAAAAAGAAAAGCATGCATGGTATTATCTACCTTTTAAAAATATATATACATGGAAAGAAATACAACAGGCCAGCCACAGTGGCTCACACTTGTAATCCCAGCACTTTGGGAGGCTGAGGCAGGGCAAATTGCTTGAGCCAGGAGTTCAAGACCAGCCTGACCAACATAGTGAGACCCCCAACTCTATTAAAAGAAAAAATACAACAAATGTTACCAGTGATTATCTCTAGGTAATAAGATCACGGGTGATGTTTTATTCTTTACGCTTATCTGTTTTTTTGGTTTTTTTTTTTTTGAGACAGGGTCTCACTCTGTCACCCAGGCTGGAGTGCAGAGGTATCATCTTGGCTCACTGCAACCTCCGCCTCCGGGTTCAAGCAATTCTCCTGCCTCAGCCTCCTAAGCAGCTGGGACTACAGGCATGCACCACCACACCTGGCTAGTTTTTGTATTTTCAGTAGAGACAGGTTTCACCACATTGGCCAGGCTGGTCTCAAACTCCTGACTTCAATTGATCCACCCACCTTAGCCTCCCAAAGTGCTGCGATTACAGGTGTGAGCCACCATGCCCGGCCCTCATTTGTAGTCTTCTATACTATAAGTGATTTGCCGCAGAAAGACCAAAA